CTCCTTCACTCACTCACACACACACACACACACACATATATATATATATATATATATATATATGGCTTTTTGTATCAGTTCCTACCTATCTACTTCACAATGTTTACATCATCCTCTCTGTTTTTCTCAGCCTCTCCATCACTGATGTTTTGCACATTAAGACTGTTTTTCTTGTAAATTTGGAGCAAATTAATTTTCTGCTCGTATTAATGGTACTGAATGATGATGTAATGAAAACAGACAAGCCGCAGGTCATGCTTTTTAGCTTTTAGCCCTCATTTCCTGTTATTAAATCAAACAAATGTAGGAAATTTCATTGGTTCTGTAGCTTTGTTTGAATTTGGTTTTAGAAAATCTAAAACAGTTGCTAAGCAATAAATCATTCTGTATGTGTGTGTGTGTGTGTCTCAAAATGTGCATCTGTACTGTGCATATTTTTGTTGCATGCATCAGTGAGGATAGCAGAAAGTCCACATTTCAGAGAATTGTTCTTGTTTAATGAACACTAGATTTATTTATCTATTCACGTTTTTCTATATGTGTATCTACACAGATGCATAAACACATTTAGAACTAAAAAATCGAATCTCCTTTCTTTCATTTTAATCATATTAACCACAGGATGTCTGGTTGGCATAATGGATATCACTGCAGAAAATGGCATCAGTAGGCCGAGTTCAAATCCTACTTTAGTCTGTTGCTTTCATTTTCACACTTGTGCCCTTGGAAAAGGCATGAATCTGTCTTTTCTCCCTCCAGATATTAAGTAACTGGGAAGACTGGGCTCTCTAGCTTTGGCAACACATCTAAGAGAAGGAAAACTTTGAATGTTAAACTATGGAAAAGGCAATGGGAAATTGCTTGGCTAACTGTGGATTGGTGAGGCTATTTAACCTACAGTTGAATACAGAATTAACCTTCTTCTAGACTTATTGCCACCCAAAGCCATAGGACCCAATCTATCATGCTGTCAACCCATAGCTGGGGCAGAAAAGAGATGGGTTCATACCTTTCCAAAGGGTATTTGCATGTAATTGAGTGTAACGAATGCTGCTCTCTGATTTCTCTCTCTCTCTGAGCTATTATACATTACTCCACTATGCCTCATATATCTATCTATCTATCTATCTATCTATCTATCTATCTATCTATCTATCTATATATATATATATATATATATATATATATATATATATATATTAAGGCAGCAAGTATTCATCCAAACAAGTTTGTTTAAAAAGAACCAACAAGGTCTGTTTGTTTCATTTTTTATATTTTTCCAATTTTCTGATAAGGTGTTGAGTATTGTGCTTGAAGTTGTGGATAAAATGTCTGAAGTTGACATTTTTTTCTTGTTCAAGTTATTATCTATTTGGTGTCTGTGTGGTAGTCAGAATTCCTTTGTCTGCATCGTGCTATTCTTTGAGAAGCTGAACATTTGAAATGGTCTGATGGGATGTTATGTATAAGCTCCTTGACATAAGAATGTATGTATGTATGTATGTATGTATGTATGTATCTATCTATCTATATATATATATATATATATATATATATATATATATATATATATATATACATTGTTACACATAACCAAGTAGTTAGAACATTTGCTTTCTAACCATGAGACCTAGGTTCAAAATTCACCATGAGTGATTTGTCAGGAAGAAGGTCAATCCTTTGGAAAGTGCCTGAAAACCATACTACAGGTTGACCCAAGTCTTGAGAGTGAAATCGGGTAGATGGAACCCTTGGGAGCTGTCGATAACAGTGCTAGCACAAGCTCGCAAGTGATCGTGGCCGTGATTTGAACGTGCTGGCCTTGTTCAAATTGTTGATCATACTAGATAACTTTCTATTTCCTAGAAACTGTAACTAAGGTCTTCTCAGCATAGTTACTGTATAAACCACAGGTGGGCTCTGTGGGTGTTGAGCAAACACAAATGTGCCTGAGTAAGCATCTGCAATAGGGATTGGCTAACCGCCCTAGTAGATAGGTATCCTCAAATACGAGTGGCCAGCTATTATTATTATTATTATATAATATATATAAAGCTCCTTTACATATATACATACATACATTTATATCTTTAAGAGGACAGGAATCCTGCTGACATTTGTTAAAGTAGTGACCTTAATCTTCATTGAGTACCTCATTCTTCTGGCCTTGTGTCAGTGGAACTCTGTAAATACTTGTGTATTTCATCCTAACTTTTAATCTAATCTAGAACAATGCCATGAATGAGCCCTCCCCCCCATGAGGATTGAACTCATAAGACGAGTAAATTGATTTTCAAGACAAGTTTGCTGAACATTGAGTCATTGTAGGTATCATGATTTTTATCTATCTCCATCTGTTTATATCTGTCTGTCTCAGTCTGTTCATACCTATATAGTTATGAACACATTGAAATAGATACTATAAAGAAACATATATATGCTGAAAGATAAATTGATAGATATAAATACAAAGGAAAATACAATGTGTATATTTTACAGCTCTTTACCAACAATGCATCAATCAGAATTCCTTGCAAAATTAAGAGACATTGTTGAACTCTTTCAATAACAATCAACAGCAGAGAAGCTGAAAATGTTTCTAAAAACCTCGGCAAATGGATTCTTTCTCATGAAGTCATTGATGTAATCAGCCAATCATGAAGTAATCAAGTATTTTATAAAATAGCGATGGCAGCCAGACTTGTTATGTGCAAAGATTTCTTTTTGAAAGTCATTTTTTTGCATGTAACGCTTACCATTGTTTACATTAGTCACATTCAGACTGATGTCCTCATCTTTATTGTTATTATCACAACATTTCAGCCATTCTGCCTTCTGGTCTTCTTCAGGTGTCTATCAATTCAAGTAATCTTCAGGGAAATTTGAACTCAACCTTTTATTTAATCTATGGAGGTAGATTATTTTCATTCTTATATCCATGTCTAGGGATATCTTGTTCTTTTTTTTTTTGTAATGGTCAGATATTGCCCACCCTGTTTCTGCAGGATAATATCCTTGGGGATTAAAGTGTTGGTTCATGAATTTGGTAACATAGTAATTGTGAGTTTGCTGGTTAATACAGAAGTAGACTGATGGTTACCCAGATTGAGAGACACTTGAAGAAAGTCAGAGGCTACCAAATAATAACAACAACAAAGATGAGGACTTTAGTGCAAATGAAAAATAATGTAAACTCCTCATCTCAGGAAATGAAACAGAAATTATATAAAATTTTGGTGGTTCTCTTTTTTGTTTTTTTCCTGTTTTGTGTCTTTGAGGTCAGTTTGAAAGTTATCTGACTATTTAATATGAAGAAAACAGCCAACTTGGGTCAGTGGTGCTTTCATTTGCTTCAAATGATTCTTCTTGGGATTTCATATATTTTTCCCATTAACCCTTTCGCTTTTCAAAATCGCTTACAATGTTGTTTGTCAAGATCTCCATTAACTTCGTAATTGTGCTCTCCCTAATCATATTTATGAATTTTCTGCAGCAATATTAATTTTGAGGAAACCAGAAGAGATTTTCTGGGTGTGGCATAAATATTTACCCATTATTTAATTATAAACTGAAAACATCCCTGTTTAAAAAACCATTTAAAATTTGGAATAAGGCTTCCTAACATTCTTTTGTTTTATTGTTTAGAGTTTAATTAAATATGGCAGCACAAAATGTGACCTAATTGTTACATTCAAAATCACTGTTAAAAAGAATTTTGAAGTGATAGAACAGTGGAATATTTGCAGAAAAATTGTTTTTAATGTTTGAAAAAAAGTTTCAAGAACAGCAAACAACATGACCGAATCCAATTCCAGGAAGGAATCATTCAGTGATTTGTAGAAGGAAAGTCATTAAAGCCATCAAGAAGAGATTAAAGAGAAATCCATAAAGAAGCATAAGGAAGATGGCAAAAGAGTTGGATATTTTGGGTAGGTTGGTAAGAAGGATTGTGAAAGTGGATTTTGGGCCAAAAACCATACACAATTCAATGACAACTGCTATCAAATGCTGTCCAGAAAAAATGGCTTAGCAGAGGGAAGAAAATATTGGTGGCTATGGAGTGTTCTGCAAACAATGTCTTTGTTTGGTCGGACTAGAGGTTTTTCACTGTGGAAGCTGTGCTCATATAACAAAATAATAGAGTTCATGCCACTTCACTAGAAAACATTCCTGAAGGTTTTAGAACATATTTCAAGTGACAGAAACTGATACGATGGCTTGGAATGCTGTTGCTTGCGATGGTTTGAAATCGGGCTTGGTGTTAATTGAAGAAAGAATAAAATTAAATAGTAGAGTTTACCAAATAATGTTGGAGAGGCATGTGTTGCCCTGGTTGTCAGCCACATTTGGAAGCCACTATATCTTCACTCAAGATGGAGTTTCCACACACATGGCCAATTTGATGCAGAACTAGTTCAAGAGACATTTCCCAGTATTTTTAACAAGTCAGTTTGATCTCTATCAAGCACTGACATTAATCATGTGGACTCTGTGATATGATTCATATTAGTGAGTTTTTGTATACAAATGTTGGTAGGTTATTCGACATTTTATAAAGTTGTTCTCTGCAATATCATATTCTTAAAAGAATTTAGAATAAAAAATGTTTTTAGATCCAACAAAAAATAAATATCATCATTGCTGTTACCATGTTTTCCTGATAGTAATTGATGTTACCCACCAGTCGTAGTCAGTACAACAGGAGGTGAATGTCATCCGTAAGTTTTTTTGTACTTTATCGATGATATTTTGCTGACTCATGGATAGCCTGAAAAACTGTCCTCATCTAATATTTAGGTGTTACTCTCACTAACATGGAGAGTTCACCAAAATGTAAAGCTTTTCTTTTTCAACCTAGACGTGCAATATATCCAATTTAGTTGCAGTTTGTAGTAATGCATGGCCTTTTGGCCTAATATGCATTAAAATATAATTCCAAATGCATTTCTTGTTTTTTTTTAAATTCTTAATATTTATTTTTTTGTTTTTTGCATTTGCAGGGGATTGAAGATTATTTGGGTGATATGGATTTCAAATTGGCTGGTTCTAAAAAAGGAATTACTGCAATACAGGTAAGTTTGGCTTGGCCAGCTGAGAATTTTTTTCCCCCAGCATCATTTCATACTTTGAGCTGAAGCAGTCAGGGATCATAATCTGAATTCCTTGTGGATCAATATATTTCATGTGACTGGTTCAGTTGTAATCCCATTTTTTTTTAGACATTTTTGGATTACATTGAGTAAAGATTTTTAATTTGCAGCCTGCATCTACCTTGGAACAAAAGTAAAAAAAACATCATTCTCAGTAGATTGATTCTCAAGTTTACTTGTCTTTTATGAAATTTTGATATATTTTTTTTTTTTTGAAGGACAAATTTTTCAAAAATGTTGGTGGGGCTAAAGATCATTTTTATTGCGTAAAGGATAAATAGGTTATATCTTGGATCTGAGAATGAATTCTACAGCCCCTTATGTGACTCTCTCTAGAGGATTACATTAGAATTTAAAAACTGTCAAATTTGAAGTAGACAAATTCTTTTATTTTTTTTTTTCATGTAATTTTATTTTACACTTGAAGAATGATGTAATTTCATGCATCTTATATTCTTATATTACCTATTAAGGTAGAAAACATAAATTTGATAAAGCAAACAACAATAAAGGCAAAATGTATATGCCAACAAATCAGATGAACATCTAAATAAAAACTATTATGTAAATATGACAGGGTTTAATTTACTGCCATGATGATTGAAAGGCTCTCTATTCAAGCTTGAAATAGATAACAACTATGAGTGTAGATGCAGTGGAGGATAATCTTCCAAAAAGCCTAGTAAACCATCTTATAAACTGACAAATAAGGTGTGAATGTACACACACACATACACACACAAAGAAAGAGAGAGAAAGATTGTGCTGACCTAGAAACTTTGCAAAATAAAAATCCTATTTTTGATCATTTGGTCAGATTTTGGTGTTTTTAGACTAAAAACAATTCAGTGCTCTTCTGTTTGTGTGTATGTGTTGATACACACAAATACATCTATATAGATGTATAGATATACTGTATCTCTCTCCATATAAGACAACTGTTAAATCTTAAAAATCACCCTTAAAAATTGGTGCGGGGGTTGGGTTTTGGGTCATCTTATATTACAATTTTAAAATAAACCTTAAATTTTGAACCTCAAATTTCATGCAATAACCAGTAATGTACATGAAAAGATTCACATTATCAAATAAACTGATATTAAAATTAATAAAACCATTTCTACTTTGTACCTTACTAGCATAACTTCATAATAAATTACCTATTTGAAGAATAATTCCATATCAATGTAATCAACTTGTATCCATGCAAACTCAGCTGAGAAAATGTGAACATCGAGTTATGATTGCATTCACAGCAACCTTTATCGTTCACTAAACTTTCAGTAATCATCATAATAGTGTTAATTACATCAGTAATAACATTTAGGATAACATAATTTTCATTTCTCATTAAAAATACATTGTCGTACTGTTTTTAGCAGTATTTTGCAATTGTCAACGAAGTATAAGTAAATGGCTATTAGTACACCAGGATGTTTATAACTGTTTAGATATAGGAAAAGAAGAGTATTTTCAAGAGATCACAAGATAAAATGTAAACAAAACAATGGCTTCCCTTTTAGGGAACATGTGTTATTTTGAATTTTTAAGGATACATTTAGTAACAACAACATTTCCAATAACATCATCTTCATACAATCAATAAGCAGTCATCTTATACTACAGTTATAGGATAAATTCAAGAAGATTCTTTATATTTTTTTACCTCTTCTTATCTAATGATCGCCTTATATGCAGAAATATAAAATATATATACATACACATATATGCCTATACACAAAGTTATACACAAAATATTTTACCTCCAGATTACTTTTCTTATTCTTTCCTATAAAACATTTTGAATTTGATACATTTATCTTGTTAGTGAAACAGATTAATATAAGAATTGATTAATAAATGAGAGAGTATTAATATTATATTATTTCCATAATTCTCAGTGACTTTTGCTTACGCACCCAATGCCCTTAACTGTTATTTCATTGAGGCTCCTTTGCCAGCAATCACTGCTAATTGACGTTCTCTATAGCCTTTGATAAGGCTTCTTCATCTCTCAGCTCGTGTTTTTGACCGTTCTTCAATACAGAATCATTCCAAATCATCCAGATTTGATAGCTTCCATTGATGAATAGCAGTTTTCAATTCATGCCATGAATGTTTGGGTCAAATGATTGGAAAGGCCATTCCATTACCTAAACCTTTTTAAACCATTCTGAGTTTTTGGAATGATTAGGGTTGTCTTGTTAGAAGATGAATTGCCTACCAAGTTTAAGTTGGCTAACAACGGGTAAAAGAGATTTTTTTTTTACAAAGAATGGACTAATATTTCAGTGAATCCATTATCCCCTCAATCCTGGTGAATTTCCTGGCTCCTATTACACTAAAGCAACCTCATAAAATGGTGTGTCCATTATCATGATTCAATGTTGGAATGGTATTTTTTACATTGTCTTCTTTTTTATCTAAGTATAACGTTACTGCTTTATCTTCTCATAGTTCATTTCTGATTTCGTCTCACAGAACAACTGTATTCCAATTATCATTTATTAGACTGATCCAAAAAGATTTTTACCAGATTCTAAATGAGACTTGATTTTTTTTATAACATACAAATTGTCAGTGAAATCCTTGTCAGTTTAATGCTCTACAAATTGTCGAGATTTGTACATTCGTTCCAGCATTGTTCACATTTATTTGGATATCTTTTTATATGTGATTTGGGGTTGACTGAAACTTCTCTTATAATTTTAATCAACCTTTCTGTTGACATACACCTTGGCTGACTTGATGTGTGATGCCAATTTCTTTGTATTTATAAATGATAGATCAAACAGTAAGATGACACTTGCAAATTTTCTTTAGCCTTCTCCAGATTAATAAACCTCAAATTTAAAAAAAAAAAAAAAAATGTATGAATGGATAATTTGTAAAATGATTTTATTTATTTTGGATGTTGAGCATTACAACATGCAATGGCGGTGTAGAATGTCTCAATTTTAAATATTATTATTATAATCTTTTTTACTGCCAAATTTATTTTCTCGATTTATTATTACTATATTTGGAAATAAATAATCTTAATTCTCTCTTCTGTATTGATATTGCTAAGTAGTTAAATGTCATCAAATCAAATTTGGAATTATTACACTATTTACATTGCTCAGCCTGTTGAATTTCAGAATTTTGTCCACTGGGGTAGAGTGTTCTAGTTCCACATACCATACTTTTTCTGGATATTTCACCTGAAGAAGGCTGGAGCGTATAATGTCCAAAACATGAATATGACAATAAATATGAGGACAGCAGTCCAAACAATGTAAATATTGTAAATAGTTACAATACCTCATCTCAGAAATAGAGTCAGATGTTGAAGGTGAATATGGCAATAAAGATGAGGACAACAGTCCAAACAATGTAAATAGTGTAAATAGTTAAAATACCTCATCTCAGAAATAGAGTCAGATGTTGAAGGTGAAATGGCAATAAAGATGAGGACAACAGTCCAAACAATGCAAAAAGATGTAAGGACAACAGTACCCAAAAATATGTAAATAGTGTTGAAGGTGAATAGTAAAGACAGGAAAACAGTCCAAACAATGTAAATAGTGTAAATAGTTACAATACCTCAGAAATAGACAGATGTTGAAGGTGAATATGGCAATAAAGATGAGGAAAACAGTCCAAACAATGTAAATAGTGTAAATAGTTACAATACCTCATCTCAGAAATAGAGTCAGATGTTGAAGGTGAAAATGGCAACAGTCCAAACAATAAAAGTAAATGTTACAGGACCTCAACAGTCCAGATGTTGAAGGTGAAACAATGATAAACAGTCCAAACAAGTAAATAGTGTAAATAGTTACAATACTTCATCTCAGAAATAGAGTCAGATGTTGAAGGTGAATATGGCAATAAAGATGAGGACAACAGTCCAAACAATGCAAATAGTGTAAATAGTTACAATACCTCATCTCAGAAATCTAAAAGATGAGGACAACAAAACAAGTTACAATACCTCATCTCAGAAATAGAGACAGATGTTGAAGGTGAAAATGGCAATAAAGATGAGGACAACAGTCCAAACAATGTAAATAGTGTAAATAGTTACAATACCTCATCTCAGAAATAGAGTCAGATGTTGAAGGTGAATATGGCAATAAAATGAGGACAACAGTCCAAACAATGTAAATAGTGTAAATAGTTAAAATAATCTCAGAAATAGAGTCAGATGTTGAAGGTGAATATGGAAATAAAGATGAGGACAACAGTCCAAACAATGTAAATAGTGTAAATAGTTACAATACCTCATCTCAGAAATAGAGTCAGATGTTGAAGGTGAATATGGCAATAAAGATGAGGACAACAGTCCAAACAATGTAAATAGTGTAAATAGTTACAATACCTCATCTCAGAAATAGAGACAGATGTTGAAGGTGAATATGGCAATAAAGATGAGGACAACAGTCCAAACAATGTAAATAGTGTAAATAGTTACAATACCTCATCTCAGAAATAGAGACAGATGTTGAAGGTGAATATGGCAATAAAGATGAGGACAACAGTCCAAACAATGTAAAAGTGTAAATAGTTACAAATATCTCAGAAATAGAGTCAGATGTTGAAGGTGAAAATGGCAATAAAGATGAGGACAACAGTCCAAACAATGTAAATAGTGTAAATAGTTACAATACCTCATCTCAGAAATAGAGTCAGATGTTGAAGGTGAATATGGCAATAAAGATGAGGACAACAGTCCGAACAATGTAAATAGTGTAAATAGTTCCAATACTTCATCATCAGATGTTGAAGGTGAATATGGCAATAAAATGAGGAGTCAAACAATGTTGTAAAAGTTACAATCATGAAATAGAGTCAGATGTTGAAGGTGAATATGGCAATAAAGATGAGGACAACAGTCCGAACAATGTAAATAGTGTAAATAGTTCCAATACTTCATCTCA